CCACACTCGGAGCAAGAGAACGGTTTGTCCCCCGGTGTCTGCTCTTCATCACTGAGACCCTCTTCTTCTTCACCCGATTCCTCTTTCACGATTATGGAGAGATACTTGGCGCGCTCCTCAGGTGAAGAACAGAGATTTGGCTTGAGATCTTTTTCTTCGTCTGAGAGAGGTTCCTCTTTGATAGGATAGGTTTGGGTGGAAAAGTCAACGTTTGGCTTCTGGTCTTCATCACTGGAGAAGGGCTCCTCTTTGATAGGATAGTTGGGGTGGGGTGGGACAAAATCTGGCAGCTGTTCTTCATCACTGGAGAGGGGCTCCTCTTTGATAGGATAGTTGGGGTGGGGTGGGACAAAATCTGTCAGCTGTTCTTCATCACTTGAGAGTGGCTCCTCCTTGATGCAGATGGAGAACTGCTCTTCACCCGAGAAGGATTCTGCCTTAATATGGACGGATGTGGAGTCCATCGCCGGATCTTTCGGTGGACCTGTTAGGAAGAGATACATAGCGTTTATCAATGTGATCACGGCGCCTTCCCTCCCACCATCAGAATTCCAGAGGTTCATGGAGAGGTCTTCCCCAACTCAGATCAAGGAGGTCATGGATGGTCATCCTATCTCTCAGGTAGACCTCCATCATGGCCTTGTGTCCTCCTAAAGACTCCCATTACTCCACTGAGAAAAAGTCCAGTGACATCCCGGCAAGGCAAAAACCAAGCCCCTCTTGGCAACAATTTACATTTCCTTGCCACATATCATGCTGCTTCCCAGAACATGTCAATTCAGTTCCTGCGTAGCCCCTGCCTAGAGTCAACTCCCAGTCAAGACCGCCATGGCCAAATGAAAGCCAACTTCTATTCCCAGTCAAGACGAACTGGAAGTCAGCTTCAAATGCCATGGCCTACTGGAAGTCAACTTCCATGCCATGGCCTACTGGAAGTCAGCTTCCATGCCATGGCCAGCTTCAATGCCATGGCCAACTGGAGGCCAGCTTCAATGCCATGGCCAACTGGAGGCCAGCTTCAATGCCATGGCCAACTGGAGGCCAGCTTTAATGCCATGGCCAACTGGAGGCCAGCTTTAATGCCATGGCCAACTGGAGGCCAGCTTTAATGCCATGGCCAACTGGAGGCCAGCTTCAATGCCATGGCCAACTGGAGGCCAGCTTCAATGCCATGGCCAACTGGAGGCCAGCTTCAATGCCATGGCCAACTGGAGGCCAGCTTCAATGCCATGGCCAACTGGAGGCCAGCTTCAATGCCATGGCCAACTGGAGGCCAGCTTTAATGCCATGGCCAACTGGAGGCCAGCTTTAATGCCATGGCCAACTGGAGGCCAGCTTCAATGCCATGGCCAACTGGAGGCCAGCTTCAATGCCATGGCCAACTGGAGGCCAGCTTCAATGCCATGGCCAACTGGAGGCCAGCTTCAATGCCATGGCCAACTGGAGGCCAGCTTCAATGCCATGGCCAACTGGAGGCCAGCTTTAATGCCATGGCCAACTGGAGGCCAGCTTCAATGCCATGGCCAACTAGAAGTCAACTTGGACTCCAAGTCAAGGCCACCATGGCCAAATGGAAGCCAACTTTGACTCCAGGTCAAGGCCATAATGGCCAAAAGGAAGTCAACTTCGATTCCAAGTCAAGACCGCCATTGCCAGGGAGAAGTCACCCCATATCTCCAGCAGCTATGGCACTTGTCACACCCTGGTAATAGGTCAGTCCCTAAAAAAACAGTCAATAAAAACTTCCCCCCATCTGCACACAACACCAAATCAAATGAAAACTTCCCAACAACCAACAACAGACCCCCCCAACAATGTCCTCACCAGCCACAATCCGACTTTCGGCCCACGTTTCCAATCGGCTTTCTGCTGCTTCTGCCTGGGCAGGAAGCTTCTTTGCGTCACTTCCTGCATTTCTGTTCCTTCTCACTTCCTTACTTATGCGTTCCATTGCGTCGGCATTCTTAGGAGGCTTTACGTCCTTTATGAAAGATTTCTCAGCATAAGGAAAGCTGAGGTAACATTGGGGCTCGAGGACGTTATTGTTCCTGGGAAATGGGAAAACAACAACGCGGGGAGGGGTGGAAAGCAAACTCATCTGCAGTTCCAAGAGCGGCCGGCAGGTGGCGGCGTCTGACAGCGCTGTATTTACTGAATACTGCTGCATTCTGCAATGTGACCGCTAGGTGGCAGCAGCGGGCAGCGCAGCATTCAATGTAATGAGCACAGGCTCTGGATAAATTGGAGTCAATGTGAATTCTTATTATATTGGGCTTATTATACATTTGACTTATTGCTCCAAATTACAAATATAAGATTGGGGTTCTGAACTATCCAACTTTCAACATATGGAGGAGTTAACTGCCCAGCTTTATAATTACCATACCACAGATATGACCAAAGGGACCATTTGGGTCGATTACTTGTTGTTCATTGGTGTCATTGGGGGTGGGGACCAGGGGACGGTGTCTCTTCTGGACCTGATGGTTCTGTTCTATGAATTAATAAATAAATGGGGTTGAGAGTGATGCTTCCTGATTGCAAGGTAACTCAGCCCACTTACCAATCATTAAATTACCAGGTATGGGTGGACAAACCTTCATACCCTGACCCTACTGGGCCCCTGAGATTTGTGACAAGCCAGTCCTGGTCATACAATGTTATAAATATTCAGTGAGCCCTTCTAGAAGGGTCTATGCCTGGAGAGAATGTGAGTCCTGGGATTTAGGCTTTGCCTGGAGAGGATGAGAGTCTAGGGACTCAGTCTTTGCCTGGAGAGGATGAGAGTCTAGAGATTCGGTCTTTGCCTGTAGAGAATGTGAGTACGGAGACTTGGTCATTGTCTGGAGAGGATGTGAGTCCAAGGACTCTGTCTTTGTCTGGAGAGGATGTGAGTCCAAGGACTCTGTCTTTGTCTGGAGAGGATGTGAGTCCAAGGACTCTGTCTTTGTCTGGAGAGGATGTGAGTCCAAGGACTCTGTCTTTGTCTGGAGAGGATGTGAGTCCAAGGACTCTGTCTTTGTCTGGAGAGGATGCGAGTCCAGGGACTTAGTCTTTGCCTGGAGAGGATGAGAGTCTAGAGATTTGGCATTTGCCTGGAGAGGATGAGAGTTCAGGGACTGAGTCTTTGCCTGGAGAGTATGTGAGTACAGCGACTTAGGCTTTGCCTGGAGAGGATGTGAATCCAGAGATTTAGGCTTTGCCTGGGGAGGATGAGAGTCTAGGGACTTAGTCTTTACCTGGAGAGGATGAGAGTCTAGAGATTCTGTCTTTGCCTGGAGAGTATGTGAGTCCAGGGACTTAGTCTTTGCCTGGAGAGGATGAGACTCTAGAGATTTGGTCGTTGCCCGGAGAGGATGTGAGTCTAGGGGCTTAGTCTTTGTCTGGAGAGAATGATAGTCTAGGGACTCAGTCTTTGCCTGGAGAGGATGAGAGTCTAGGGACTTAGTCTTTGCCTGGAGAGGATGAGACTCTAGAGATTTGGTCGTTGCCCGGAGAGGATGTGAGTCTAGGGGCTTAGTCTTTGTCTGGAGAGAATGATAGTCTAGGGACTCAGTCTTTGCCTGGAGAGGATGTGAGTCCAGAGACTTAGTCTTTGCCCGGAGAGAATGTGAGTACAGGGACTCAGTCTTTGCCTGGAGAGGATGAGAGTCTAGGGAATCAGTCTTTGCCTAGAGAGGATGAGAGTCTAGGGACTCAGTCTTTGCCTGGAGAGGATGAGAGTCTAGGGACTTAGTCTTTGCCTGGAGAGTATGTGAGTACAGGGACTCAGTCTTTGCCTGGAGAAGATGAGAGTCTAGGGACTTAGTCTTTGTCTGGAGAGGATGTGAGTCCAGGGACTCGGTCTTTGCCAATCGGAGTCTGAGCCAATAAATGCTGCAAGCAAAAATTGAGAGCATGGATGGTGGTCATTCATTTGCCCCCGGGGGGGTTGGTGAGTGCTTTGTGGCAACTGTAGGCCAGATCACCAATAACATGGCTAGAAGTGCCCTTTAAACCCAGCGGCTCCTTAGGAGGTCATCGCTACTTTATGATTCAGTGGAACTGGGACACAATGGGAACCAACGCAACTGTAGGGTTGTGTTGGGTTAAGTGCAGTCTGGGTTCTGCTGCCCTATCAGGATGCACTCATGGATGGACTACTATTAGAATATCACAGCGTATTCAATTTTCATTGGTGCAAACCAACAACAGACCTTAAGTGGGTCATATAACGGTCTGTATAGATTTGTAGCCCCCTTCAAGTATTCTCTTCCGCCACCTTGGGTTAGAGGAACAATATTATCCATATGTAGACCCCTCCCAGGTCTAAAGCTCTTGAACATGCACACGAAGGTAGTCACACACTTCACTGCCCCTTTCTATTTGGATGACCAGAAGACTGGGATCTCCTCAACGCAGGGTATGGAAACTGTGACTTCTATGGAGGAGGTTTGGGACCCAACGAGACAGTATAACCATACAGGTCATGGTGGGAAAGGACTAAAGGGATCATGGCTTGTATGGAGTAAGGTTTGGGACATGACAAGACATTATTAACATACAGGACATGGTGAGACGGTACTAAAGGAATTAATAAGCCCTCCAACATAATAAGTCCTGTTGGGTCCCAAGCCCACCTCCATAGAAGCCATGGTTTCCACACACTGCACTGATGATGCCCAAAGAGCCTGAAACAGCTATATGCAATTTGGAATACATGGCTCTGTAATATTGGGCTGGATTTGGAATATACACCAATGGTTTTGGATGTGCATCTAGCTGATGGGACGTAAGGTGGTTCTGGTCTGGATGTACATCTAGCTGACTGGAGGTAAAGCAGTTCTGAAAGGAACAGCTAACTGATGTGACGTAAAGCGGTTCTGGATGTACGTCTAGCTGATGGGAAGTAAGGTGGTTCTGGACGTACGTCTAGCTGATGGGAAGTTAAGCGGTTCTGGATGTACTTCTAGCTGATGGGACATAAGGTGGTTCTGGATGTACGTCTAGCTGATGGGAAGTAAAGCGCTTCTGGATGTACGTCTAGCTGATGGGACGTAAGGTGGTTCTGGATGTACGTCTAGCTGATGGGATGTAAGGTGGTTCTGGATGTAGTCTAGCTGATGGGACGTAAGGTGGTTCTGGGTGTATGTCTAGCTGATGGGAAGAAAAGCGCTTCTGGATGTACTTCTAGCTGATGGGACATAAGGTGGTTCTGGATGTACGTCTAGCTGAAGGGAAGTAAAGCGCTTCTGGACGTACGTCTAGCTGATGGGACATAAGGTGGTTCTGGACGTACGTCTAGCTGATGGGACATAAGGCGGTTCTGGATGTACGTCTAGCTGATGGGAAGTAAAGCGCTTCTGGATGTACGTCTAGCTGATGGGACGTAAGGGGGTTCTGGATGTAGTCTAGCTGATGGGACATAAGGTGGTTCTGGATGTACGTCTAGCTGATGGGAAGTAAAGCGCTTCTGGATGTACGTCTAGCTGATGGGACGTAAGGTGGTTCTGGATGTAGTCTAGCTGATGGGACCTAAGGTGGTTCTGGGTGTATGTCTAGCTGATGGGAAGTAAAGTGCTTCTGGATGTACTTCTAGCTGATGGGACATAAGGTGGTTCTGGATGTACGTCTAGCTGATGGGACGTAAGGTGGTTCTGGGTGTACGTCTAGCTGATGGGACATAAGGTGGTTCTGGATGTACGTCTAGCTGAAGGGAAGTAAAGCGCTTCTGGATGTACGTCTAGCTGATGGGACGTAAGGTGGTTCTGGATGTAGTCTAGCTGATGGGACCTAAGGTGGTTCTGGGTGTATGTCTAGCTGATGGGAAGTAAAGTGCTTCTGGATGTACTTCTAGCTGATGGGACATAAGGTGGTTCTGGATGTACGTCTAGCTGATGGGACGTAAGGTGGTTCTGGGTGTACGTCTAGCTGATGGGACATAAGGTGGTTCTGGATGTACGTCTAGCTGAAGGGAAGTAAAGCGCTTCTGGATGTACGTCTAGCTGATGGGACATAAGGTGGTTCTGGACGTACGTCTAGCTGATGGGAAGTAAAGCGGTTCTGGATGTACATCTAGCTGATAGGACGTAAAGCGGTTCTGGATGTACGTCTAGCTGATGGGAAGTAAAGCGGGTCTGGATGTACATCTAGCTGATAGGACGTAAAGCGGTTCTGGATGTACGTCTAGCTGATGGGACATAAGGTGGTTCTGGATGTACGTCTAGCTGATGGGATGTAAAGCGCTTCTGGATGTACATCTAGCTGATGGTACATAATGTGGTTCTGGATGTACATCTAGCTGATAGGACATAAAGCGGTTCTGGATGTACGTCTAGCTGATGGGACGTAACACATTGTCTTTTCATTATTTATAAAAAAACAGATAACAAAATCTTTATTGACAGGAAACGTCTTCACATTTTGTACAATCTATGACAAGACCATAAAGTCTTCCCACCAGCTGCTGGTCCTATGTGGACAATATTGACAAGTCAATGTTTTCTATCTACAACATGATACGGGTGCTTGAGGTCCGAGACAGCAAGGCAACCGGAACGTCCAAAAGGAGGTCAGCCATGGAAGCCGAACTAGTTTTTTCGTGACAAGTTCCACACAAGGTCCCACCATCCTGCCTTTAAGTAAGAGAGGAAGGCCTCCCTTGCGAGGCCGAGCTGCCGATTCCCGTTTACCTCGCGTGGATCCTCTGATGTTTGATCAGGTCGGAGTTGCTAATGAAAGCCTTGCCGCACTCGGAGCAGGGAAACGGTTTTTCCCCCGTGTGAGTCCTCAGGTGGATGACGAGGTTGGACTTGCAGATGTAGCTCTTCTCACACTGTGAACAGGCGTACGGCCGCTCTCCGGTGTGGACCCTCTTGTGCCGGCTGCACTCCGAGCTGCTGCTGAAGCGCTTCCCGCAGTCCGAGCAGGCGTAAGGCTTCTCCCCGGTGTGGCTCCGGCGGTGCGCCACCAGCTGCGAGTTGGTGATGAAGCACTTGCCGCACTCGGAGCAGGAGAAGGGCCGGTCGCCGGAGTGGATCTTCCGGTGCAGGGCCAGGTTGGAGCTGTTGATGAAGCACTTGCCGCAGGTGGGGCAGACGTACTGCTTTTGGCCGGAGTGGATCTTGCGGTGGGTCACCAAGTTGGACTTGCTGCTAAAGTGTTTGCCGCAGTCGGAGCACGAATACTGCTTCTCGCCCGTGTGGATCCACTGGTGCGTCGCGAACTGCATCTTCCGGCTGAAGGCCTTGCCGCACTCCTGGCAGGAGTAGGGCTTGTCGCCGGAGTGGACCTTCCGGTGGCTGTTCAGCTCGGCCTTGCTGATGAAGCGCTTGCCGCACTCCGCGCACGGGTAGGGCTTCTCCCCGGTGTGGCTCCGCTGGTGCCGGTTGAACTCCGACTTGTTGCTGAAACACCGTCCGCAGTCCGGGCAGGCGTAGGGCTTTTCCCCGGTGTGGATGCGCTGGTGGGTCACCAGGTTGGAGTTGCTGATGAAGCACTTCCCGCATTCCGAACAGGCATAAGGCTTCTCCCCGGTGTGGATCCGCCGGTGGGTCACCAGGTTGGACTTGACATTGAAGCTCTTGCCGCACTCCGGGCAGGAGTACGGCCTCTCCCCCGTGTGAATGCGCTCGTGCGTCTGGCAGTCCGTCTTACAGTTAAAGGACTTGTCGCACACTGCGCAGGCGAAGAGCTTTTCGCCAGCGTGACCCCTCTGGTGGCCGACCAGCTTGGAGCGATGCTGGAACCGCTTCCCGCATTCCCAACAGGAGAACGGCTTCTCGATGGTCGGGTTGGTGAGGTAGTTGCGGCTGCACCTGCCCACGTAAGGTCTGGTTTCCTGAACACGACCCCCAGGTACGTCATTGTCGGAGTCAACGTCAGAGAGGGTCTCCTCCTTTATCACAAAGGTCGTGTATTCTATAGGATTGACGGTCGTATGGTCATCGGCGTCACTCAAACTCTCTTCGTCCGATGTGGTTTCCTCCTTTAAGTGGGCCGAGCCACGGGCATCGCTGGAAACTGACTCTTCCTTAACGCTACACTGTGCAATTTTTGTGGCTGTATTAGCTTCCACACGTGGGGGAAGTTCTTCCTTCCTTGACAGGTCCTCTTTAATACAAGAAACATTGACGAGGCCTTCTTCTTTATCTTTAATATGACCCGAAGAATGGTCCACCAGATATGACCGAGAAGGTGAGTCAACTATCTTGACCTCTTCACTTTGGGAGGACTCCTCCTTAATATCTGTGGGTGGAGTGATGTCACATGGAGGGAGATCTTCTTCACTAAGAGTTAGTGGCTCAGCCATGTTCTCCGAGGTGTGGCTCCCGTCTCGGTTATAAGGGGAGGACAATCTGACAGTTGGGGGACTTGTACCAATACCATAGTCTGGTGACGGAGAAATGGTGTCCTGAGGACCTCCAGGCAGTGGATCTGTAGGAAGGAAAGATATGGTTCTGAGAGGGTGGAGAGACTTCTTAAAGGGTCAGTCCACCCAAAAATGATGTCTTGTTTTTCTGGACACTGTAGAGCAGGGGTAGCCAAACTCTGGCCCTCCAGCTGTGGGTGAAACTACAAATCCCATGATGCTTCTCTCTCCGGGAGTCGTGGCTATGAGAATCTTGCAATGCCTCATGGGATTTGTAGTTCCACCACAGCTGGAGGGTTGGAGGTTTGCTACCCCTGCTCTAGAGAATCACACCACTGAACGGTCCTTACGCCTCCCACTGGTGAGCTCTGGATTGGTGATGGGTTTTATATTGTGCAATAGGAAGGACAGGAACACCTAGGATGGTGGCATGTGTAGAAGTGGAACTGGGAACTATGGCGGGGAAGGCCCATCACTGGAACCACAGAAAGAAGGGGGGACTCAACGGGCTCCACCTAGAGATGGAATGTCACTTTTGGGTCAGCTGACTCTTTAATAAACAGAGGACTCCGGTTACGGGAGAAGGGACATTCTTGGTACAGAGAAGCGTGTGCGCGGGGTGCTACAGGTTGCTACAAAAGAAGGAAGGGAAGGCGGGTGGAAGAAGGGAAGAGATGTAAGGAGTAAGAGATGGAGGGAGTGAGGATAGGACGAAGGGATAATGGGAGGATGGATTGAGGAAGTAAGGGAGAAAAAGAAATGGAGAGAAGGATGGATGGAAAACGGAATAAAGGAAGGGTAAGAGATGGGGTGCGAGAGGAAGGAAGGGGGGAATAGAGGGAAAGGAGGTGGAGGGGTAGAGGAAGGAAGGTAGGGAGGAATCTATGGGGAGAAGGCGTGGAGGAAGGAAGGTAGGGAGGAATCGATAAAGGAGAAGGGGTGGAGGAAGGAAGGTAGGGAGGAATCGATGGTGCAGGAGGGGTGGAGGAAGGAAGGTAGGGAGCATAGGCGTCACTACAGGGGGGCAATTGCCCCCCCTGTGTTATGCTTTGCCCCCCGTGTGCCCCCCCCCCGCTAAATTAAGCAGCTGTGCAGTCTCTCCAGTGCTGGTGCTAGTA